ATGTATGAGAGACTAGCCATGATTAATCATATCACATGCTTCTCTTTAAATGAGTTTAACTTCACTTAAAAGGCAAAAACGTTACAATTCATTAAAGTAAAATGCAATAGGATTTTTTTTGTCATGTGCATGTTGAAATGAATGAGGATTGACTTTGAAATGTACAATTTTTCTGGTGGTTCCAATTTATTCCTAGTTTTATTGAGTTAGATTTATACTGTTACACTGTAATAAATATATGCAGGTATATATATAAATATATACACACATCTACATATATATATATATATACAGACATACACACATACACATATATATATATATATATATATATATATATATATATATATATATATATATATATATATATATATATATATATATATATATATATATATATATATATATATATATATATATATATATATATATACATATTTATTTATTTATTTTTTTTTTTGAGTGTTGGAACATTATTACATATACGCTAAATTAGAAATAAACATGTTCTATCTGTAAGAATTAGAGCCTGACCAAATTATTTTTCATGACAGTAATTTCAGCTATAATTACTTTAAAAAAAAAAAATCAGTTTAGGTTATATAAATAAAACACACACACACACACACACACACAAATATTTATTTTTGCTTGTTCAAACTACTTATTTAAAATGAGATGAAACAACACAACTCTTCAGATTTCTTTGGCACAACTTATTTTTTTATGTTCAATCCACACAAATTTGTTAAAAGCGTTAAGTTAACTTAATCGATTTGTGTTGGGACAACATGATGGACCCCAGCATTTTTTACAGTGCAAAGGGTTGTTTAGCTGTTGAAGTTAGTTTATACCAGTGTATTTTTCTCTCTTTTGCTGAAATTTAAATTTTTATAATCATTATGAGAGCATTAACTTTCAAAAAAGTAAAAAAATGTACTTCTATAAATAGCTAAATGTAAAAAAAAACATTAAAGATCTCTCGCCTTTATAAAATACAACCTCTAAAAACACACACAAGAAAAATTAATATTTTTGATTGATTTGTTTTTTAGGAGTGTACTGTATTTTTTTGTATTATTATCATTTTATAGTATATATGTTATTTTTATTCTGTTTGTCTTCTGTTCCTAATGAACATAGTGTCTGGAAATCGTTGAATATTATACTATAAAAAGAAGAAAAAAACTATAAAAGAAAAACTCAATTTCCCATAATGCCTTAGGCCCAAGTGTTCTGCGGGTGCGCGCGTTCTACCGGAAATACTCCTGTTGTGCCCGTGGATTTGATTTGTACAGGGCTGCCGTTTTACTGGCCTTACGGTAAGAAATTTCCAGCCTGCTTTGCAAACCCTCCTTTCACAGCATGTCACAGATACACATTAAACATGCGAGATGTGCACGTGTGTTTATCCTTTATGTTACATCAGCAAAAAAGATAACTAATATCCGAACACGAAGCTAATGATGCTAACGTTAACTGGTTTAGCATGTTTTACATTTCCATGTTCTCGTGTCAGTTTTGTACTAACAAATAGATGAGTAACGTTAATTACTGTATGTATACAAGACATTTGAGGGAGACTGTGAAGTAATGGTTTGTATATTTTGGGGTGACATACCAGGCTAAAAGTTTCATTTAAGTTAGCGTTGATACATTAATGCACTGGCTTAGCAGTCGTGTATAATAAACGCTGTCACAAAAATAAAGTGGATTTAATACGCTTTATTTCTTAACGAAACTATTTCAAAGGGATTTCACCTGTTATGAAAATGTGTCAAAATAATGTAAGTTTAATAGCTATGGAAATTAATTAAGAGACTGATTAAGTGCTGTTTCTCTGGATTTAAGCAGTATTTTTATGTTATTTTGATAATGTTACTTCCAAATACTTATAATAAAATACAATATTGCATTTAGAGGATTATCCAAATGACATTTGGTAAGAACTGCACGTTTTTACATGCTGGGTTTGAAAAGCCTGGGTTTTTAACACCAAATAATGATTTCTTAACTCTATAAAAGTTTTATACAAACATTGGTTGGCCAAATCTGAACATAACTTTTTGTTATTTTATTTTGATTTATTTATTTTTTAACAAAAATATACATAAAATATGATATCATTAACAAAAAAAATACATGGTCAACATGGTCGAAAACGGAGTGGGATGAAGCACAAGCTTATTATTTGCCCACCCCATTACCACATACACCATTCGTCTATTATTTAAACTTATTTCTTCTTATACTCATCTCTTCTTTTTCATGAAACATATTTTATCCTTGTGGCATCTTTGACAAATTATATGTTTGATTCAATTTGTATGTTTACATTTTGTAACAAAGACCAAAAAAAAAAAAATAAATAAATAAATACATACATAGTACTCTAAATAGCCATTAATTAAATGTCATACCTTTCTTATTTCATCCTTTTTCAATCACCTTCATCATTATATTCCTTTAATAATATATATTTAAACTACTTTTTAAATTGATTATTATCCTGACATTGTTTGAGTGTCTGATCTAGACTGTTCCATAGTTTTACAGCACAGACAGACATACACAAACATTTTAAAGTTGTCCTTGTTTTCAACCTCTAAGATTATATCCCCCTTGTCTTTCTTCAAAAAACTTTTGTATGCATTTTGCAAGTAATTTATTCTTTGCATACTTTATTTATTGCATACTTTTCTAATATCGAGCAGTTCTAGTAGATGCATTTCGATAGAAATGTTAAATGACTAACCTCATTTCGATTCTTCTGTCAGCTGCAGAAACCAGAGAAAATGGGCGACAGATTTATCCAACTGCATTCCAACAGTCACCACAAAAACCTGCTCGGCGCCATGTGGAAGCTTAGGACCAGGGGAAACCTGTGCGACATCACCATCCAGGTGGACTTTCAGGGAGAGCTGGAGGAGTTCGAAGCCCATCAGGTGGTCCTGGCCGCGTCCAGCGCTTACTTCAAAACCCACCTCTTAACAGAAGACCCAGTGAACAAGATGTTCCTCTGTGACTTTTCACCGCACTCCTTCTCCAAATTCCTAGAGTACGCGTATTCAGGGAAAATGGAGGTGGAGAAAAGTGGGATCGCTAACATATTACAAATGGCCAAACTCCTGAAATGCCAAGACCTGGTGGATGTCTGTGAGGTGGAAATTCCTAATGTTGCATCAGAGGAATGTGTAGAGAAAGATGCCGAAATCAAAACCAAGCATGTCAAAAAAGCAATTAAAAGAAAAAAGAGAGTAAAATCAGCCAAATACGTGAGTGAATCAGATGTGCTCGGCAGGAGAAGTGGAAGGTTAGCAGGTCGTAGAGTTAATGTAGAGTTTCCTCAGAAAAAATTAAAGAGGCAAACGGAAATCCTTGATGAACCTGACAATGCAGAAGGAGAAGAAGAGCAACGAATAGCAGAACATCCGGAAGCAGAATCATCAAAGAATGCATTGGATGACACTAGTAAAGACACTATTGATGACTCTGGGTCTGAATCTCCTGCCTATGTGCCTCAGGACGACCCTGACGAATCAGACTTTCTACCTGATGAGGAAATGGAGGCAGATGAAGCTGAGAAGAAAGTCAAGAAAGAAATCGCCAAATACACATGCGAGGTCTGCAGCCGCTATTTCTACTACGAGAAGAGCTATCTGAAACACTTAAAGGTGGGATTACGATGGTCTCAAACTTTTGCTTGTGTTTAATTGCTAAAGCTTTTATCAAGGGGCATAACGGTGGCTGAGTGGTTAGCACTGTTGCCTCAAAGCAAGAAGGTTGCGGAATTGAGTCCTGGCTGGGTCGGTTGGCATTTTTGTGTGGAGTTTGCATGTTCTCCCAGCGTTGGCATGGGTTTCCTCTGAGTGCTTCCCACAGTCCAAAGACGCGTGCTATTGGTGCTTTCTTTTGCACATCATTCCCTCATAGCCAACTTAAGCAAAGTCTCTTTAAGGCAAGTCATTTTACTCTGCGGCCATCTTTGAAACACGTCTCAGGCAGTATGCTTGGGAACTCTGTCTCAATGGGGAAACATCAAATTCTCCAAAACTGTTTGGCAAACTTTTGATAACATTGCAAATGTGGAACTACCAATAAAATTAAAAAACAACTCGTTTCTAAAGGTCAGAATCAGACAAAATCAGCATTTTCAGGTTGCCCAAGCTAATGCGCATGTGCATTCAAAAGGAATGAGATCACCACGCCAGCTTCATTCGTAGCCATTCTACACATTATCATCCTCTGGATAATGCTTTGTCTGATCATGCTGCTCTTCTGAAGTACTTCACAACTCGGTTTTGATGGTGAATCTCCTCACGACACTTTGTTTACAAGTTTGTGGGCGTTTGAGTAGTTTCTGTCATGTGATGTGCGTTTGACAGGACGGACTGTACCTTGCGTTCGTTTCATACAGATTACAAATCCAAGAAACTATTGTTTTTAAGTGCACTTGGTTCATTTAAAAGTTCAAATTTCAAGCTTTATTTGTATATCTTTCTTATGTCTGTGAGGCAAGTTTTCGCTGAGATTCCAATGCGTTTGTTGACCACCAAACTTCTGTAAAAGCACACGTCTGATCCGAGCTTTTCCCCAGAGAATTGTCAGTCTATAGCGATCGTTGATTGGCTACTGTACAAAAAGGCGGGGCTTCATTCACCATGAGTGACATGTCTTTTGTATTCTATAGTCTTTGAGTTAACGTTAAGGGAGGGTATTAATATGCAGCAGTTGTTATGAAAACCCTTGACATGACGTCAACAGAAGGATCGCAACTCCAAACACGAAATCAAATAATCAGACTTTCATTGACAAAATGAGACACAAACCATGAGGAAACACATGATTTTATAGTTTACCGAATTAAAATGCAAAGAAATTAACAGTAATTTAATGCCCTGATACATTTGTTATTCGTAATTTCATGAACACATAACCTCAATTTGTTATATTATTATAGAGATAATCATGTATATATAAACACTATAAATGAAAAGGACTTCCGAATCCCAGGGTCTGAATGCAGACACAGTGGACAGCAGTGCAGCAGGTCTCCTGCCATGTCTATTTCATCCATTAGCCCTGCCCGTAATCCGTGTAAAACACAGCAGCACGGATATAGGCGATGTGTCTGAATAGTAACGAACTCAACTGATAAAAGACAAAGTCCACCATTCTCCTATTCTCGTACTACTCTCCTGACAGAAGTGCTTGATGGAAACTAACAGCTTTGCTGTATCAGCCCTGACAGAATCACGGGGAAAAACATGCAACAAACTTCATGGATCATAAAAACAAACACACACTGTACGACCCGAGCCGTGAGAAGATATGGTCTCACCAGTTAGGGTCTCACCCAGTGATTGGGTCTCACAGCTTGGCAAGTCTGCCTTGCCTTTGGAAAGCATGAGCTCTTATGAATAATTAAGAAGCAGGCTCTTCTCATAGGATATAAAACTACGCTATGAATAATAATGAGAAACTGATGCGTCATCACTCCACTAGCAGATTTGCGCTACGCCGCCGATTCTGATCCCGCCCCAAAAATTATTTTAAAACCAGAAGATGAAATTAGCGGACAAAAGCTCAAAATTATCCAGTTTTCCCCACAATTAAAGCTGACAGGTATTAACATTGCCTTAACTGATGCTCAACACACACAAACCTGTAAAATCTCAAAAAAAAGTATGAGGGTGTCTTTAAACCTTTAAAGAATAACAATGTAAGCTAGCAAAATAAACATTGTACATTTTGATTTCACACACACTTTAAAAAGGGCACTCATTCATTCATTTTCCTTTGGCTTAGTCTCTTATTTATGAGTGGTTGCCACAGCGGAACGAACCACCAACTATTCAGGGATATGTTTTATGCAGCGGATGCCCTTCCAAGCCGCAACCTAGTACTGGGTAACACCCATACACTCTCGCGATTACACACACTCATACACTACGGCCAATTTCACCAATTTGACCTATAGCGCGTGTCATTGGACTGTGGGGTAAACCAGAACACACGGAGGGAAACTCAAACCAACACGGGGATAACATGCAAACTCCACACAGAAATGCCAACTGGGACTTGAACCATTGACCTTCTTGCTGTGAGGCGACAGTGCTAACCACTGAGTCACTCTTAAAATTAAAATAATAAATGTTTATTCCTGCCACTTTAAAGTGCCCATGATATCAATATTGTACATATTCATTATCACTATGAAATATCGGATTATGTTTACTTGAAGGTCAGTCACGGGGTGCAGACGGACACTACGCTTCGCTGTGATATCTGCCAGCAGACGTTTGCCAACCGCTGCAACCTGAAGATCCACCAGCGGCACGTGCACAGCGACGAGCGCCTTTTCCCCTGCGACGTCTGCAACAAAACCTTCAAACGCAAGAAGGACGTGACGCGCCACCGGCGCCACGTCCACGAGGGCGGCACGGACAGACACTACTGCCAGGAATGTGGCAAATCTCTGAGCTCCAAAACTGCCCTGACTCTGCATGAGAGGACACACACGGGACTCAAGCCCTTCAAATGTGACGAGTGCGACTCCAGATTCTCCCAGAGTTCAGCGCTCAAGACGCATAAGAGGTACATGGCAGGGATTATTTACAGATGTCAGAATTATTAACCCCCTGTGTATTTTCTTTCCTCAATTTCTGTATAACAGAGATTTTTTTTCAATACATTTCCAAACATAAGTTTTAATAACTCATTTCTAATAACTGATTTATTTTATCTTTGCCATGATCACAGTACAGAATATTTTACTAGGTACTTTTAAAAATACTAGTATTCAGCTGAAAGTGACATTTACAGGCATAATTAGGTTAATTAGGCAAGTCATTGTATAACGATAGTTTGTTCCGTTGACAATCAAAAAAATTACGCCTAAGGGGGCTAATAATATTAATATGATCAAATCAAATCACGTTTATTGTTACCTCATCAGCAGCATGTGTGCTATGATGAGTGAAAAGCTTAGGATTGCTGGTAGCTCGCAACACGGCGGCCATGCTCGGCACCATCTTGATGACGGTACTGACAAAGGTCCAGAATTTGTCCTATACTTAAGCTATTTAGTCCTATTTTAACTGCTATTCCATCACGAATTGTGAAAATAACTTTTTGAAGAAGGCTTTAAGACCAAATGGAGTCCTATTCCAGGCCCGATCTCATCAGCATACAAGTACCCATTCACGATACATTTTAGCATTAAAACAGCGTGCAGATGATGTTCTGGAGACAGAGAAGACAATAGATACAGCCGTGCTGTGAAGCTGATCATTTGCATTACTTTGGAGACTGTCAGGGCTCAGGAAACCAAGACATTTTAAAGTCTGAAAACAACTTTTCAGTTATATGTAGTTAATATAAATTTATATTCCGACACTGACCTTCTGTATTGTTGTTAAATAGAGAAAACATTTTACAGGTTACTTTTATTCTAAATCTTGGACCATGAAACAAAATATGATCAATTAAATTGAGGCCCTTATTAAAGTTATTTTAACATTAATCAGGCTATTGTTATTCATGAATTTTCAATGTAATTTTTTTACAAGAGAAAAATCTAGCAACAGTGTAAAGCTTTACATTACTAGTGTTTATTTATTTGTTTATTATTCAAATGGCCAAATTCTAACTGAGGAAAGTTGAATGTGCTGGCCCTTGGCTAAATAAATAAACATAAGCTACAGTTTATGATTAAAAAAATTAACAAATCTTTTTTTTATGAATAATCATATAATAAATTAGTATTTTAAATTAGTTTTTTTTCAACATTTATAAGAAAATATTTTGGTACATCAAACAAGACAAGCTATTTAAGCAAAAAAAAGTGCCTAAAATGTCATTAAAATGCAGTGTTTAAACCTTATAATTAAATAGAAAGTGAGGCGAATAACTGCAAATAGGTCCACTTTTTGAGAAAAAAGAATTACCCCTTTTACCAGACTGGCTTCCTTAGCTCCTGATTGACCTTAAAATTGTTTAAAAAAAACTAAAAAGTGCATTTATTTTAGCCGAAATAAAACAAATCAGACTTTCTACAAAATAAAAATATAGGAATTACTGTGAAAAATTCCTTGCTCTGTATAACATGATTTGGGAAATATTTGAAAGGAAAGAAAATTCATAGGGCGGCCTATAATTTTGACTTCAACAGTATGTGTTTAGACAATGGAGGAGATTTGAAGCTTAATTAAATTTTGTGGTGCTGAAATAAATTGATGCATAATAGGAGCAATACTAAATTTCATTTAAAGGGATAGTTCACCCAAAACATGAAAATGTACTCACTATTTACTCATTCTCAAGTGGTTACAAAGCTTTATGAGTTTTATTTTTCTTTTGATCAGAAAAGAAGATATTTTGAAACCTGTAACCACCCAAATGACATGGAAGTCAGTGGTTACAGGTTTTCAGCATTTTTCTAAATACCTTCTTTTAAGTTCAACAGAAAAAATAAGCTCAAATTGGTTTAGTAATGGTGCATAAATGATGATGGGATTTTCAGTTTTGGGTGAACTGTACCTTTAATGCTATATACTGTAGAACAATTTTGGTGGCAGGGGTGAAACAGTGGCTCAATGTTTAGCACTTTTGCCTCCGAAAGAGGGTCGCTGCTTTGAGTCCCGACTGGGTTAGTTGGCATTTCTATGTAGAGTTCGAATGGGTAAAATTTCATAAATTGGGTTGTGTCCCGGTGTTGGGTTGTCACTGGAAGGGTATCCGCTGTGTAAAGCATATGCTGGATAAGTTGGCGGATCATCCCACCGTGGCGACCCCTGATTAATAAAGGGACTAAGCCAAAAAGAAAATGAATGAATGAATAAAAAAATTGTTAAATCTTAATTATTTTATTATTATATGAATGTTTAAAAACTAAATATTACACACTGAAATAGTGACACCACTTATATTTTAATAATATAATAATAATACCTTTTATTATAATTAAGGATCCACACTGGAGAGAAACCTTTCGCCTGTGACCTCTGTGATGCCAGATTTACCCAGAATCACATGCTGGCGTACCACAGAAGATGCCACACAGGTGAGGGAAACCCATTCCTGTGACTTTAAAAGAAATAATGATGAGGAAAGGTAACGACTTCCTGTTCTCTTTCTCTAGGAGAAAAGCCATTCATGTGTGAGAACTGTGGGAAGAGCTTCGCATCTAAAGAATATCTGAAGCATCACAACAGAATCCATTCGGGCTCCAGACCCTACAAATGTGAGACCTGCGGAAGAGCGTTTGCACAGAGGAACTCGCTCCACCAGCATGTCAAAATACACACAGGTATACTCTTCTTCGAAATCAACACTAATATAAATTCCTCTCAGTAAGTGCAAACATGGTATTTTACATCACATTCACTAAAGCATATGATAACATAAAGCAGTTTAAAAATCAGACATCAGTCGCTTCTTATGTAACTCTTACTGAGTGTTCATCTCAACACTAGATTTTGCTGTATTTGGCTCAACCATTCTTGGGTGGCTCACCAGTGTATTAGATGACAAAAGTTCTTACAGGGAGAAGACTTTAGTGAAGACAATGAATAGTGCAGTTTCTCAGCATCTTCAAGTAACCTAACCCAAAGTACTGTCTGTTAGAGACTACTTTATAACAAAAGAATATGATTCCCCCAGAGATTACCCAAATGGTTTAGCTGGTTCACAACTCTTGAGTTCCTGTAGGCCAGGGGCAGTGGCGCAAAAAGGGGGTATGCAGTATATGCGGCGCATAGGGGCGCCACACATGGGGGGGCGCCATTGTGCCAAAACTATTTTTAAAATTACCCTTATTAAAAAATTTAAATAATAAAAATAAATAAATATGTTTTGTTAAAAAAAAATTATTTTGCATTTTATAAAAATATAACATTGTTTTTGTTTAATTCAAAATCATTTAACACAATAACATGCAGTCACACAGCCGAAAGTGTTCATGTAGATGTAACTGTTTAGATTTGTTTTTATTTTTATTAAAATAAACTGTCAAATAATACATAATGTCAAAAGTTATAAGGTTAATCTAAAAAATTTGTCTCCATTTATTGTTAATTAATTAATTAAATTATTAGTTTGCCAAAATAAGAGGGATCACACAAAATTTGAACCCGCATACCCCTCAGTAAATGTGTAGTTGCGCCCCTGGCCAGGGGTCACCAACCCTGTTCCTGAAGAGCTACCTTCCAGCAGAATTCAGTCCCAACCCTGATCAAACACACCTGAACCAATTAATGGTATCTAAAGCAGCACTTGATAATTACAAACAGGTGTGTTTGGTCAGGGTTGAAATTGAAATGTGCAGGAAGGTAGCTCTCCAGGAAAAGGGTTGTGACCCCTGCTGTTGGCCATTTGGTTCACACTTTTTCAGATGCAGATACTTGCATATGAAATAAGTCATACACTGCCAACAAGAAAATATTAACCAATAGTTACAGCATTGATCTGATTAGTCATAACACTGGAGTATATTTACATGGACACCAATACTCTGTAGACTCTTAATCAGAGTATTGTCTCAATCGTTTTAAATCAGTGTAAACTGATTTTTAATGGCCTTAATAAGACTAAAATCATAATTGAACTAAACAGAAATGGAATTAAGAAAAGTGGAGTATTCCTATTTTAGTGGCATTAATGAAATGCAGTACAGACATGTAAACACCACAATTAAATTATTACCATTTTGTAGTCATTTTTGCATGAAAATGATGCATGAAAGAGCACATTTTGGTGTGAGCGAGAAATGATTATGCTGAGAATTCTTGAAGAAATGGACATTATGAAGTGCCTTGAATTTGAAGTGACTTTGGGGGGCATGAATGAAAAGTTAATGAATGAAATGGCAGAGGTGGCTGTTGCTTGAGAATTTATATTCATCGTCATCTGTTTACACTAATAAGGCTCTATTTTAATGATCAAGGCGCAAAGTCTAAAGCGCATGGAGCAAAAGCATTAAGGGCGTGTCCACATCCACTTTTGCTATTTTAAGGACAGAAAAATACGTTTTGCGCCCTGCCGCATGGTCTAACAGGGTTGTGCTTATTCTCTTACGCCCCATTCACACAGAGCGTCAGCTTCAACGCTTCCCATTCACTTTGAATGAGTGACGTCAAGCATTGGCGAACTGCATTGTGGATCCATCAGCGCTGCTTCAGAGGCGTTGCTCCCTGCAGAAGTTGGGACTTTCTCAACTTTTCAAGCACCAACAGAAGCGTCAGCCAATCAGATCGCTGTATGCAAATACACCAGCTCAGACAGTAGCCAATTGCTGACTAATTTTATTGGCTGACGCTGCTATGACGATCGCCTCAGCCCCAACCTCAGACACGCCCTCTGTCAAGTTTTGACGCTGAAGCCCCGTGTGATTGGGGCGTTAATGAGTTATGGGTGTGTTTTAAACATAACGTGCATTAAACCAATCAGACTCTCATCTCCCAATCCCTTTAAGAGTTAGTTGTGTTGCGCCATGGTGCGTTTGCTATTTACATGGAGGACTTTAAGTGGGAAAAACTGAACGCTTCACTAGCGAGAAAACAGTTAAACAGAGCACCTGCAGCACGAGGATAAAGAATGAGCCTCCTCCATTTGGCCTCTTCACTTTTCTTTACTACTTTACTTTCTTAAATGTAGGAAATGGTGTTGTTCGCACTCCACTGAAGACATTTATTAGCCTACATATTTAGTTTCATAAGGGCAAAGATTTAAAAAAATATATATATATTCAGTTCTAATTTCCAACAAATAAATAAATGAACAATAACAAAGTGTGGTCAAAAAACTGAGTTATCCAAATACACGTCCGATTCTTTCGCCTGATTCACACAGGGCTTCTACATCAACGCTTGACAGAGGGCATGTCTGAAGTTGGGGCTGACGCGATCGTCATAGCAGCATTAGCCAATTAAATTAGTCAGCAATTGGCTACTGTCTGAGCTGGTGTATTTGCATACAGCGATCTGATTGGTTGACACTTCCATTGGCGCTTGAAAAGTTGAGAAAGTCGAGTAACACCCCTGAAGCAGTGCTGACGGATCCACAATGCAGTTCGGCAATGTCTGACGTCACCATGTTAACGCTGATGCCCCATGTGAATGAGCCGTAATGCCCGTATGGTGATGCAAACGTCTCCAAAACCCGACAGATGGGCAAATCTACACTTGTTTTTATTAAAACAAGTATAAATATGGACATAATAAATAATACTAAAACTAATATAGTAAATAGTAATAAAAATAATATGATACTAATAAAAAATGTGAAAACTAGGGTTGCGCCGGTCTGAAAATAGCAACAAATTGCACCAAACACACTTGTCGCAAAATGAAAAATGAAATGGCCAAAATCACATATGTTGCCATGATGAACACAAACGTGAAATTACGTGAAATGCTGGAAGAAACTAGTGTTTGAATGGTGACGTAAATGACCTGAATCAAACTATGTGCTATGAAAACGAGATTGTGAAAGTTACATTTTAAAAAGCAGAGCCACTGACGCGGTTTTCTGCACAGGTGAAAGACCATATCATTGTAAGGACTGTGATAAGCAGTTCACTCAACTCAACGCCCTCCAGAGACACCAGAGAATCCACACGGGAGAGAAACCGTACATGTGCAGCATGTGTGGAAGAACATTCACAGACAAGTCCACCGTACGCCGACACACTCTGGTGAATATCTGTGACTTTCCACTGCATGCTTTTATGATTGAGTTTATAGAGTCTATAAAAGTATATTCACACCCATGGGCTTTCAGTGCACGGCATTACAACTTTAAATCAGGATGTATTTCACTATAAATACAGTAAAAAGTCCAGAAATAGCTGTAAATATTTTTATAGGGAGCAGAAGGCATATAAAAAATCCCAACTAGACTAGTCCCTGAAGTATTGTGACATTTGAAAGAAGCTACATTTTTATTCAGTACATTTAAATCAGGGTTTCTGCAGGGTCTTAAAAAGTTTCAAATCTCAAAATCTAAATTTTAGGCTTTAAAAAAATTCTTATATTTACTGCAATATTGTGTTGTAGGTCTTAAATCTTTTTTAAACAGGTAATAATTTTCCTTTGTTTATGTATTGCTACCCAATCTGGTCAAAACCCATACAATTACACACAATCAATCTCAATAAAACTTTTAACTTTTTATTTAAAAAGGTGATGAACAATTTATCATAATAGTTTTATTATTTTCCTTACAATAAAATTTGTTTAAAAGTGCATTTACTGAGAACACTGACCTGGACAGACTGTTGCGCATAGATTTCGTTTATTATAGTTTTTAAAACTAAAAACATTTGTTCATTTGTTTTATTTTAAAGAAAGTTTATCTTAGGAAAAACGTGTATGGATAGAAGTAGAGCTTGCTCATTTTTTACACAATATTTAATATTTAAAATACTTTGCTAAGAAATAAAATCTAAAATATTTTCTTTTTTTATTATTAATGTATTAGTGTATTATAAAATGTATATATAATGTTTATGCAAATAAAAATCTTTTCTATCTGGGCCATTTAAAAAATTCCTTAGCCTTTAGCCCTTTATGAGTTTAAAATTAAATTTATAATGGTCTTAAAATGTCTTAAATTTAACTCGGGGAAACCTGCAGAAACCCTGTTAAATATTATAAAAGATTCAAACGTCAAACAAACGTTCTTTAGTTGAAAAAGAAAGCACAAAAAAAGCACATTTTAAATCATAATATTATTTCATATAATAATAATTAAAAAATTACTGTATATTTGGTCTAATAAATACCAAAAAACTATGCACCCCTTCTAGACTTTACCCGAACAATAAGCATTTTTTAATTTGATGCATTTAAAAAATATATTTTTTCCTAATATTCAATGCATTTCAAAAGCTTTTACAGACAACAAACATTACCACATCAACAGTACCATAATCCATGCTGAAACCGGTTCATGTACATATTCAATATACATATTAAATGCCAGCTGTACCTATTTATAGCACTCAAACGCACGTTAATATTAATTAGATATTATCAATAATGCATATTATTTTTCATTGCTTACAAGCCTCCACATTGGCATCTTGTGCAGAGAACCAGCTTCTTATAGCTTAATCAATAAGTTAAGATAGTTTAGTGGCGTAATTAATTGAGATTTAAGACAAGAGGAATAATGTTTAATTAATAGATATCACCACACTTGCACAAAACACATCTTTATGTATTTACAGTTGAAGTCGGAATTATTAGCCCCCCTTTGAATTGTTTTTCTTATTTAAATATTTCTCAAATGATGTTTAACAGAGCAAGGAAATTCACAGTATATCTGATAATATTTTTTCTTCTGGAGAAAGTCGTATTCGTTTTATTTCGGCTAGAATAAAAGCAGTTTTGAATTTTTTCAAGACCATTTTAAGGTAAAAAATATTAGCCCCTTGAAGCTATATTTATTCCCGACTGTCTATGGAGCAAACCATCATCATTATACAATAACTTGCCTAATTACCCTAACCTGTCTAGTTAACCTAATTAAGCCTTTAAATGTGAGTTATTAAAACGGTTATGTTTAGAAATGTTGAAAAAATATTCAAGGGGGGTTATTAATTCTGACATCAACTGTAAATAGCCCCCAAAAAATCTTAAAACAGACCAGTGCTTGCTTTTCCCTGTAGTGTCTTCTTTTAATATAACAAAAACGGTTCATATGCAGACCCATGACAAACAAACCCCCTGGAAGAACTACCTGGTGGTCCTGGAGGGAAATGTTGAAGACCGAGCCAAGAAGCCCAAAGGCTCTTCCCAGAAGAAGGAGAAGGCAGCGGCTGCGGTTTCTAAAGCCCAGGCTCTTCAGAGCGACGTGGGGAAGACTCAAGAAGTCATGGCCACAATCGGAGAGCCCGTAACCATTTCCGGAGACTGGACTGGATCTGGAACTATCGCTCTGGTCTCCGGCCTCACGGTCATTCAAACAGAAGTGCCTTCTGGGACGCTGCAGCCACTAGTCACCAGCGACGGCACCAGTGTTATCTCTCTGGATGCTTCAGCCATCGGGATGCCAGTCCCATTTTCCATCCCGATTTCAGTCGCTCATTCCTTAGCGTCCGGTTCTGTGCCCATCAGCGTCGCCGGACACGTTTCTGAAGCCATATTGGAGTCATCGACGAATGCAGAAACATCCGAAGCAGAGAATGTCCTGGCATCGACAGCAATTGAAGAGTGTGTCACGGTTCAGGCTGTTACAGTGGAGGAAACGGACTGTGCGGAAACACAACAGGAGAATGACCAAAACACACACACTGCAGATGATTCAAACAACATGGAGATCTCTGTCGGAGACACCGCGGAATAACTTTACTTTGGTTGATCAAGTACTGCATCGATGGATCGGCTGTAAAAAAACATCTTTGCTTTACGAAGAATGTCTGAAATGTCATTTCCTGTGCAGAATGTCTATAATGAGTGTAATTTAAGAGATCACAGTGTTTAATTGTTTGTTTATGATTTCCTCTCTGATTTCTATAGAGCGTTTGTTTTCCACAGAATTGTTTTCTGTTGTCAGTATTGCTTTTGGCTGATATTTATTATGTGCAGCACTACAACCAACTAAATGCATCCTTTTTTAATCCCATTATGTGTATTATGATTTGCAAACCATGAGAGCGTTACTAAAATCATTTAATAAAGTGTCTGTTGAATTTAGTAGTTGTTTTCCTTATATATATATATATATGAGCAATATCACACGAGCAGCAGTGCGATATGGCTGTATATATCAGCACTGGTGATTTCACAATAATTAACCCTGAAAATAACAACAAATCCACTAACATTACCAGACTTTGCCTATTTCAATCTGCCAACACAACACACATTCCTGATATGCTAGCAAATCGGTATAAATACAGCACTACAACATATAAAAGAGAAAGATCATCTAACCTGCCAACATGTCTCTGAAAACATGGCAGACTAGGGGGGAGGTGGTGTGTGGGGGTGAGGTTGTGAACACAATGCAGCGGGTTTTGGGGGGCCGCTTCGATCGGGTATTGTACCAAAGTTGGCAACCCGGGGGTGTTTAGTTTACAGACTGTACCAAAGAGGGGGGTTGGTGAAATTATGGGAGTTATGGATACTTCCATAAAAAAACGCAAGTGTTTGCAGGTGTGCTTACTAGTTTAATATTGATTTGATCTGCTGTAGTTAGAAATCAGACTGTTATATCTTCTAAGCGTAAGGGCTTATTATGCAGTTCTGTCGCCATCTTGTGGATAGAAAATGTCAACTGCCGCCGACAAGCTATCTCTCAGAAATTGTAAATATTTTAAAATAGGCTCTATTCCTGCAATTAAACAGCATAGTTGCAATCTAGACAACTACATTCTCGACTAAAAAAGCCTCAAAAGTATATTTTGTTGTCTAACAGCAGTAATATTTGTCAAACTGTAGTCTCTACTTTAATATATATTAATCCTTAAAATTCTGCATAATTAAGGGGTGTGGCCTCTTGAGTGACGGGTCTCTGCTGCTTACAGTACTGCATTGTGTTTTTATTTTATGTGGCTTTACACAGTCCATTGCTTTTTTTGATTATTCGTTACAATAGCCAAATAATATTTCATGTTGTACAGGTAAATGTGCTCGCAGACCATTCATGTCTATTCTTATAATATTTTATTTATAAAAAGTTTTTGATTTGCTGATATAAATACATTTATAACTTTATTTAGAAATTTAATTCACTCCAGAGTTTGACAGATTGGTTAGCTTTAGGCTATAAAAACAGAATCTGAAACATCATACAATGCTATGCATGCATTTCATAAAACGATAATTCTCTTTAATAATTTAATAATTTATATAGACACTCAAAGTGCTTTACACATTGGAGGGAATCTCATCCACCACCAGTGTGCAGTATCCGATGATGATGACGCAACGGCAGCCATATTGCGCCAGATGGCACATCACACCACGCTCTGATTGGTGGAGAGGAGACAGAGTGATAAAGCCAATTTTGATATGGGGATGGTTAGGGGGCCATGATGGACAGAGGCCAGTGGGCAAATTTGGCCAGGGGTTAACCCCCTTCTTTTTTTTCGAAGGACATCCTGGGATTTTTAATGACCACATCTAGTCTTGATTTAACGTCTCATCTGAAAGACGGTGCTCACTAAGCGCCCCTTCACTATACTGGGGCGATAGGACCCACCACAGACCACAGGTTGAGCGCCCCCTGCTGGTCTCACTAACACCACTTCAGGCAGCAACCTAGCTTTCCCATATACTGGTACTGACCGGGCACAGCCCTGCTTAGGTTTAGTGGGTGACCATGTGAAAGTTGCAGAGAGCTAGTGTAGCATTTACAAACACTACATTTTAAATATTTAGACATAATAAGTGTTTTTTTTTCTCTGGTAAAAAAAAGTCACCTTAATAATAAAGGTTTAAAACTGGTCTTTCCAGTAATCCTGAAAACTTTCTATTCAGGGACCATAGAAAGTGTATTGACTCAAGGTATCTCAGTGTGGTATGGAAACAGCTCAAACCAGGACCGCAAAGCACTTCAAAGAGTTGTGCATTTAGCTGAGCGCATCTCAGGGTCTGCTTTCCCCTCCTTGCAGGACATCTATCTTAAACGATGTAAAAATAGAGCTGTTAAAATCTGTAAGGACTTAAACCATCCTGACAATTATCTATTCACTTTGCTTCCATCTAGAAAACGTTTCCGTAGCTTGATGGCAAAAACAGAGAGACTTAGGAGGAGCATCTTTCCCCAGGCCATCAGGCTGCTAAATTTTAACCCGGTGTTACACATCACTTGATTTTTTGTATTTATCACTGTAGTAGTCATATCTATAAGTTACCTTATATTGCTGCTATTCTTATTACCTTTTATAATTTTTTTGCACATTATTTTTTGCACACTTTTTTTTCTCCTTATTATTTAATTTTTGTTTATCTATACTTGCACTGTCTCTGGAGCGGACCTGACCTACATTCACTGCTGGTCCCACTTTGTATAACTATGTATGTGACAAATAAAACTTAACTTGACTTGATAGTTCGAGGCATTATAAAAGTGCTTTTCAAAAGACCAAACTCAGTAAACATGCTAATAGCTATAGTCTACAACCAATCGCATGTGGCTGGAACAAAAACAAGTCACATTTAATGAAGAGTCAATCATTTTAACCAAAGAAAAACCAATCTAAGGTAAATGCAAATGGACGCTCCTCTTTGCCCATGTTCAACTATTCAGAAGTGATGCATGGTCGGTGATGCGCTAACAAGATGGCGATAGCTGGCTCCGCCTACTTGTAGCTTCATTTGACCTCTTCTGAAAACTATAGGTCAGTGTTTCCCAACCCTGTTCCTGAAGGCACACCGACAGTACACATTTCAAACACACCTGAATCAACTCCACAGAACACTAGAAGAGACTCCAAAACATGAAATGAATGGATCAGATAAGGGAGACATCAAAAACATGTACTGTTGGTGTGTCTATAGGAACGGGGTTGGGAAACACCGCTATAGGTAACATCACAGACACTACATACATATTTATATACAGTCTATATGGGTTTAATAAAGGCTACCATATGTTCTTCAATTACAGTTACATATTAGATCCATTATAAGTGCATATATTGGTTCAACAAACAATATTTAATTTACCTCAACACTTGCATGATTGCAAACATGAATTGGAAATCAATCTGAGAGACTTTGAAGAGGCAGAATGGTGTAGCCATTTCAATATTGGGTTTTTATTTCTGTACATTCTCACAGACATTCAGCAAAGACATCAGTTGCTCTGTGGGAAAGTACATCGTTTGGTACATTTCATGGCTTCTTAAAAACTCTAGAATATGGTAAAATAGAGACGTCACGACACGTAAACCGGAATGACATGCGCTTTTAAAGACCACGGAAGGTGGAGAGTGTACATGAGCTATGCTTTCACAACACGACACACACAGAGAGCATGTTAATAAAGGTTATACGGGGACGGGGGCTTACAAACGCATCCATTTCAGTGCTGATGGAGGTGGTGGTTCAATTTAAAGGGACAGTTCAATCAAAAATAAAATGAGAGGCCGTTCACATATCATTTTCAGCAATTATCAACGTGCTTTTGTGCTCACGCTCCCTTGGCGTCTGTCATTGCTAGGCAATCATCAACCGTTGTCTCAGAGGATGACAAACTGACAATCCCATGCTTTTATTTATTAAAGAGCAATGCAGTTTTTTGGGATTTGTCTGATATTGTCTAATGTTATTACTGAAATGTGTATAAAGCAGCAGTCACATAGATATATACACTAGATATCGCATAGGGAACCTGAGCATGCGTCAATAGCGCCGCCACATTGGTACAGTGCTCCCAGGACAAGTGTCATTCAACCACAATGGTCAAGACAGTGTTATTACATGAAGATGAGGGACTTAAGCGCTGTCTACGGGTGCAGTAACGAGCAAACAAAGAAAACAAAACACAAAGGCAGAACATTTCATAGGTAATATTATGTTTTTTTCTGTTTTTGTATGTTCTGAATTTTTGTGCTAATCAGGCAACGTTATTGAGGATAACAGTCACTTACTGCATTCACCATACGGCAAAGCAGCTCCAACTCGCACTAAACACTCGGCTTATGCTAGTTTTGTTGAATAAAATTAGCAAACAATGCAAAAGAAATATGACAACGAGATGCTGCGCTGCCAGAAACTTGTATTATTGTCGCCTAACGTTAGTGAAAGAGTCGTTCGGGGGATTCATTCACAAACGAATCACTCCCTCCGTCAGTATGAGAAGTGAAAGCAGGAGAGGAGCTGTGTTTCAGGACACGGATTAAATTAAATTTAACAGGGAGGGTGGATAGTACATTTCTGTACACACAAACACAAGCTTTTTGTCAGGAATGCCCGTGCGGTCACTGATCCATCAATTTAGAAAAGTTGTGTAAAATTATAATTTTCGTAATTAAAAAAAAAAAAATTACATGCTTACATCCAGGAAAACTCCCGATCACAGATATATGTGTATATGTGTATATCTCTGGCTTTGCATGGCCACAGTCCTCCACTGTACCTTGGTCCCGCATTCATTTCAAAGGAGCGCTACCCTGTAGCAAGATGGCGGTGCTATTGACTCATTCCGTCCAATAGACAACAATAGGCCAGGCGACATCTAGTGTATATATCTATGCAGCAGTCACACTGGACTTATCTCTCCATAGACTTTCATTCATACGCACGCAGATGCGTCAGGCTGGAAACGCAAGCCTGTGCATCAAGTTTGACAGTTCACTGCGTTGCAAAGTTCAAGCTTGGTGAACTCTGACCTGCAAAATCGCATCACTTGACTGCGTGAGACCAATCGAGGATCAAAACATGACCTCTCTGGACAGAAATTTTAAATATGGAGTAATCACTCACTTTTTAAAATGTCTAATCATTTTGTTTAATCCCGCACCTTTTAACAGTGCCGTACAACAGAATTTCACACATACAAACTCTAGTGTGATCGCAGCATATTCCATACAAAGTATAATGCTGATTGGTTAGCTCTAGTCACATGACTCGCATTCTGAAAAGTTGAGATTGCGCCTGGAAAAGCATGTTGCACCAAATTTGCACATGCAAGTCGCACGCCTCCACTGGAAATAACATACTGGCTTGTATGCCAGTAATGTGATGTGTGAACGGCCCCTTACTCACCCTCAGGCAATACAATAAGCTGGTGACTTTATTCAGTGGAACATAAACAGGGTGTCCCGCAGGGTCTTAAACTTTAAAAACTAAAAGGCCTTAAAAAGTCTTCAATTCACTAAAACATTGTGTCGCAGGTGTTAAATCATTTTAAACAGGTCTTAATTTTGCTGTGTCCGAGTAAAGCTACTCAATCGGACCAACATCCTCCCAATGACCAACAAAACATCTCAATTGAATCTTTTTTTTTATAGAGATACAATTGACGACAGCTGTTTTAACATCTTTACAGCAAGACCCCCAAATTAAATTCCCTAATCAGGGAAAGAAAATGAAAAATTATTACACGGTTACTCATGATAAGACCGGGCTATTAGAAAAAGTCTGATTAAAGAAGACGTTAAGACATTAAGGATGGTTTTTGGTGATTCATAAAATGAAAGTCAGTGGCTATCGGCACTTATGAGACTTAAAAATCTATAAATAAAAATGAAATTAACACCTATTGGTCTTACGAAGACTCTTAAGCCGCTTTTCCACTGCTAGTGCGGGAGCTGCGTGGAGTTCCGATCATCTCCGTATGTGGAAAATTCGGATTTGATTTGTGCTGTGGAAACGTTGAAATATTTGAGCTCCTGCGACTAGACCGTATGCGACTGATCAAATGGATGTGATGTATTCCAGTGTTGTCCAGGCAGCTCGCGAGCTGAGAAATAGTAGTTTTTCTGTTATTTATCTAAGAAAAGTCTATAACAAAAAAAACATTTTTATTCATAAATGAGTAATAACAAATATTAGTTGTCTTTTATGTTGGGGAATAAAGGCTCTTGCTTTTTCACTCCTTTATTTCGGACACTATGAGAACAGCTCATCTCCCATGGTGCAAGACACAATTAAAAATTCTGTGTGACTGCCACAAGGAGGCGTATTCTGACAGTCGTGTGCAGTGGAAAGGCAGATTTTTGGTGCATTCACACCAGATGCGGATAAAGAGTCAAGCGCGAGTGATTTACATGTTAAGTCAATGCAAAGACGTGAATAGACATCCTGCGGAGTGATTTGCACAAATGAGGCGGTGCGAATGACGCGATTTGCACAAATAAAGTGTCGTGATTGAGCGTTTGACACGCTCAACGCGTGATTTGCAAGTTGAAATGGATTCAAGTTGGAAAATCTGAACTTTAGCGGAGATTCGAGTCGCGTTATTCAATCAGGAGCTTGCTGTAGTATGGGCGTAATCATGACGTAGCGCCTGTTGTTGGCTAAAGTCTAGATCAGATACGCGGCCAGCCAAAGGTGGGATATACACATCAATACGGCAGCATTTTTATGACACCGTATAACAGTAATTCATATTTTTACAGTACTGTGACAGTTGGGTTTAGGGTTTGGGTAGGGTTAGGCGTTAAAAAAATACAATTTATTGGGTAACTGAATAGGTTAAATAATACTCGCTACAACTACTGTTTTTACGTTACTGTGATGTTTGGGTTTAAAGTAAGGGTAGACGTTAATAAAATACAATAAATGGGAAATTTAATAAACAGTATAAATAATTCTCGTTAACTTCCAGCCACAACCTGATCTGATCTAGCAACAACCCTGCTGTTGGGTCCCGAGGGAAATCCTCCTGCTGACAGTGGACAAAACCTCATCAAACTGGGCTCGGCTCAGTCGGAAGCACCGCTGAAAGCCTCGATCATCCAGGTATAGTTTCTGGAAGAGTTGATGAACTCACCAGGCAGGGTGCACCTCTGAAAGAATCTAGTGGACTCAGACATGGCGCCGAATGAGTCTACGCTGTTTATTAAAGGTGCAGTAGGTGATTGTCTTCAGAAGCATTTTTTGTTGTGCTGGTTGAAAGTCTCTTCACATTTCATTAGTAATGATTTAAGTAAATGATCTAAATGTATTTATATGTATTTTTATATTTTGGGTAAGGCATAAAACTAAATAATGTTCATCCAATTAAATAGAGTCGGACCGTCATCTCTCATAATTCCCATAAGTAGCCCAATCTGTCTGTCAGCAAATGCAGATTTAAACAACTGCACAGCCGTTAGTACGCATCTCTGCCGACCGCCGCGCGTTCACGAGAGAGAGCATGTGCGCGATAGGTAAAAACCTGCTAAATTTAAACTTTTTAATAACCTGAATCAATATTGGAGTTACCTTTGCTCGGTGAAGAAAGGATGACACAATGGGTGAAGGATTTCTCTTAGACAGGTAATGTTCTGTTTTAAAACTGTTTTAGCTTCACGCAAAGCTGACGTTAGATGTTGTTGCTACAAATGGGTTATTTCTTCACAGAAGTGTTGTTCAGCCACTAAAATCTTCCAGTGAAAGATTGATAAGACTTTTCAGTTTTAAAAGGGACCTTTTACAGCATCGATAATGTAGATTTTAATTAGTTTAACACCAAAACACAAGTAAATAGCGCTATTCTGCCTAGTCTCCTATATTGTTTACCATGCAACTGTAAATATTCGCTCTGAAATAGCATGTCAGTTTGGCTTGCTCGCCGCCGGACAAGCACTAGTCGCTTTTAACACATGAGAGACGGTTCTTTTGCTGTGCTCGTGTTTAAGGAGGCGTGGCTCTAGACGGCAGGGGAGGGACTGTGATTCAGCTGTTAGCATTGTGGAAGATCACCTACAGCACCTTTAACCTTTCTAAAACACATAAAGAACAGCTACTCTCTAAATATGTTAACCATGTTAACCATGTGAACCGAGTCTGTTGTGATGTGAATTTCACGCTTGAATGAAGATAATTTATGCATCACCTGGACTTGGCCATTGCACAGAAGAGATGTCAAATGGAAGTGGGGAAAGTGGGTTTCTCCACTTTCCAGATCATTTTAGGTTGCCCTCGTCGCCCTGAATGGTGTTCTTGATTTAAAGAAGCATGGTGGTGAGCCACTGGTCCAAGCAAGAGATAGAGTCAAACTCCTTCACTTGAATGATCAATTATATAGAGCAGTGGTTCTCAAACTTTTTTCATAAAGTAGCACCTCAGAAAGAAATTGTCTCTCCAAGTACCACCATATTGAGCAGTATTGAAATACAGTAGTGTTGTCGGCCTGATGAAGCAGCTACAGCACAGTTAAAAAAACAAGGCAGATTCATTCCTATTATTAAAAATATTTATTATTGTCAGCCACTTTAAACATTAGTTTAAAGTGGTTAAATATAGTTAAAGTTAAATATATTTATATGTAAAAAAAATAATAAAAAATAAAAACAAAACGTCAATGTTTATATTAAAATATGCTTTTAAAGTTAAAATTGAATGGTTACTGTTTTTAAAAAGTAAAAAAAAAGAAGAAAAAAAAAACTTCTGTACTTAAATGTCAAGTATTAACATATAGTAGCCAATTCATCAACACCTTCAAATGTTGCCTGGACCTTAGAAATAGGCTATTTGTCATCATATTTATATATAAATCTCCACATACCACTAGATGGAAGCCCGCGTACTATTAGTAGTACATGTACCACAGTTTGAGAACCACTGATATAGAGTATACAGATAGTGGCATAGGCAAATAGAAACCCTGCCCATGGCATGAATCTGCATGTATTGGGAAGTGAATTTCACTCACGAATTAAGCAAATTTAATACGAGAATGAAGCGAGCAAACTCAAAATGTAGCGTAATTTATTCGCCTATCATCTGGTGTGAACACCGCATTAAGGTGCCAATAGCAGCTGAATAGTTTTTATGAATCACCAAGGACCAGTTTCAGAAAATCCCTCTGTTGTTGTTCTACTGAAAAAGAAAAAAGTCACTAACATCTGTGACCTGAGGGCAAATGCACAACTTTCTTCAAAGTTGGGGTTACCTGTCCCTTTAAGACAATTTTAAAATATATATCACTACATTTTCTGACTAATATAATATTAGTAGGCTAATAATTTTAAATGATACTATTATTAGACTAATAATATTTTCTTGACAAATCATAAAAATAATAATTCACAATATAATGATATATTAATAAATGAAATAAATATGCGTTTAAGAAAACAGCCCAAAATTAAAATGTCATTAAAGAAAACTGCATATTTCCATGGTGTTTGACACAATTAGGACATGTTTCCATAGGTTTAAATCCTACTTTCAAAACTAACAGTGGAAAGCTTAAATAATAACATCTACACTGATTAAATTAAACATGGATGACATCTGCATTTTGAGACCTGCATGCCGTACAGACAAAGCAGACTACGAAAAAACTGTTCAAATAAAATTAACGAAGTCTAAATATTAATAATAATAATATTATTAGTAACACAAAAAGAAATTCCTGCTGCACAGACTTTTAATGACATCTGTACAATTCATGCAGCTCTAGCACATCGCAATTCAGCGGCTGTTGCAAAAGAAACACGAGGAACATCTCAAATCCCCATTGAGTTTCCCTTGAAGCCGCGTTTCCAGAAATACCCAGGGAAACCGGAGCAGATCTTTTCGAACTGGAGTGCTAAATGTTTGATATGTGCTATATTATATAACTGGATATCAATGTAACAGTACAGGCTTAGAAGTATATTCTCTAGAAATGTTGCAGCAATGCTTTTTGACATACTGTTTTTGGGAAACCTGGACTTGGCCATTGCACAGAAGAGATGTGAAATGGAAGTGGGGAAGGAGGGCACCATGCAGTGGGTTTCCCCACCGTCCAGATCATTTTAGGTCACCCTCGTCGCCCTGAATGGTCTTCTTGATCCGGAGAAGCATGGTGGTGAGCCACTGGTCCAAGCGGGAGATAGAGTCAAACTCCTTCACCTGAAAGATCAATTATATAGAGTATACAGAATTATTAGACCCTGTTTATTTTTTTTCCCCACTTTCGTTTCAACAGAGAAATTTTTTTTGACACATTTCTAAACATAATAGTTTTATTAAACTAATTCCTATTATCTGATTTATTTTATCTTTATTTCTTCTATTCAGCTTAAAGTGACATTTTAAGGCTTAACCAAGTTAATTAGGCAAGTTAGGGCAAATCACTGTATAATGATACAATGTACATGTACTGTGATCGTGGCAAAGATAAAAGAAATCAGAAATGAGTTATTAAAACTATTATATTTAGAAATGTGTTAAAAAAAATCTTATTTTCTCTTAAACAGAATTTGGGGGAAAAATATAGGAGGGCTAATAATTCAGGAGGGCTAATCGTAATATAACTTCCATCTCACGCTGAGCTTAAGGATACAATGGAAAGAGGGTGACAAATCTTACCGCTTCTGTGAAAGCCTCTGCATTTTGCTCCTCGTGAGCCTCTAGAAGTTTCTGTGAGGACAAATCTCTTATAAATACACATCACTTAACATTAATGAAAGTTAAGCAGTGGTAATGGCTAATTGTGATTATTCAATCACTGTTTATTTGTGATTATTTAATCAAACGATTCCAGCAATTTCTTTTTTAGCCACAAGGGGAAAGATAAATCAACATACATTGCAAAAAACTAATTTCTTGCTTAAGAGCTTTTATTTTGTTTCTAGCCCAAATATTTAAAAATTCCAAAATC